CACCGAAATTCGAAGAGGCGATGAAAAAACAAAAAAAATCAAACAAAGTTATAAGAAACACAAAAATTTCGATAGGGACAAAGAGAATTATGTTGGAATGCTGTGGAATATCATATTCTCAATTATGGCAGTAGAGGCTAGTAAATTTCTTTAAAGGGATGGAGATGAAGGTTGGGGGGGAAGCTGCGGCAATTGAAAAGTGGTCTTACAGATGGACGAACAATATGAGCAGCAAGGAAGTTTTAAGGAAAATAGTAATGAAAATGACCTCGGATCAGAAAGAGGTGACATTTCTGAAGACATAAGGAAAGACCTAAAGCTTGAAGAATTTGCCATTCACAAGTTATATGGAAGACAAAAAAGACAGAGAAAGCATCCAGTAACTTAACGAGTTTGCGTAAATGTATGACCAAACAGGAACTAGGAGTGATAGTAAGTAAATTTTTGAGATCTAGAAAGGATAGGAAACTGTGGAGATTAATTGGAGGTCTCGTTTAAAAGGCATATGAACAAAATCTCAATTGTTTATACGTAATTTTATTTTATTTTTGGAGATGATAATGATTTAGAGATACACGTTTTACTAATTAACCCATATCTGGCGGTAGAAGAGTTGGATTCATCCCCTATAGCGAAGAGCCGAGTTCTAATTCTAGTCGAATCCATTACATTCACTTACTTGCTAATACCTTGGGAAAGGTATGAATCTCTTTGTTCTCTCCTCAAGCTATGCGTAAATTGCAGGACAGACCAGGTTCTATAGCCTTGGATGGCAACTGGTCTACCACAGAAAGAAATGCCAACCTATTGCGGGAAAAAATCAGCCTCGTCAATCATGTATCGAAAGATACATGGTCGCCTAAGCCTGTAGCACGCATGGCACAAAACTGACTGCCTGAACTGAAATTGGAACACGATTCACCGATTAACAATTCCAAGGCATTATCCATTTTACCACCCACACTTCCAAGGTTACAACATCTGGTATTCCCAGGCTCGACGTTGCTTAACTTCGGTGATCGTACCGGAACCGGTTTTTCAACGTGATACGGCCACGTTCTGAAGGTATACGGCACATAAATAGAAGAGCCAATGGAACTAGAATCAAATTTTGTAAAGAAATTGGTGAACATTTTCTTTTTTTAGACCTCAACCTTGGTAAAAGGAATGAACCCAGCCTTCCAGGACAGCTTTGTATCGTCATTTAAATTTGTGGGTTTCTTGCCAGAGGAATCCTATACCAGAAAGCAAGAGAAGATAATGATAGAGGTTCTCCTCGACTTCCTTTTGTGGCAATCCATTTCCAGCCACAAGTATTTTTAGTTGTGCCAAGTAGCAAACGATTATTTTAGAAAAAAAAAAAGGATATCTTGATTTTTTTCAATAGATTAGATTATCTTACGGATCGGTCTAGCGATGATTTGAAGGAAGAAGAAGGATAAATTCAGCCTTAATTCACTATTGTTTTTTTATAAGAGAAGCAGACTTTTCAATTTGGCATCTGCCGAGGAAAATGAATAAAACAGATAAATGAAAAAAAAAATGAATAAAAGAAGAAAAAAAGAAACAATCCAGTATTACTGATGTTTTTATCCATCCTTCATAGATCATAGTATGTAAACCATTATTTTCAATGCTTGGAGCATTAATTCACATGTCACTTGCAACCTGAAACATTAATTTGCCAAGCCTGACGGCTTTTCTACAGTGATGAGTTCAGGGCCAAGAACGACAGGTGTAATATAGTAATTGAATCAACAGTCTCACTTCTGCACGTTGGTAGCTCAGTGATATTTTGTCGCTTGATATTAATACAGAACAATAGACGGTCTTGTCAAAAGGCAAATGACCGCCATTTGACTGACAATCTGCGAGCTTACAAAAGGGCTAAAACTTTTTTCTAATTCTTCGTTCACGAAATGATGGTGATGATTATGATACAGTAGGTTGTTTTTCTAAAATGTAAATATTTTTTTGGCAGTATTTCTTTAATTCGCAAAAAAAAAGCTCGTCTTCTGTGCCAACTTTCCTATTACGGGACACTTGTCCATTATTGCCCAAAGGTTTTCAGTTGGGTTAAGGTCAGGACTCTGACTAGGTCACGGGAAGAGTTGTAGTTTATCCTCGTCACGCTTCCTCGCTAGATAACGTTTATTCTTGAAAGGCTATATTTGAAACTCATCAGAAGAAAAAAGAAAATCATTACAATATTTCCGCTATACACCGTACCCCGACTTTATATATATAAGTCAACATAGAAGACTTCTATGTTCACTTATATATATATATATATATATATATATATATATATATATATATATATATATATATATATATCAACCGCAAGGTTTCCTCAGGCAAGTAGAAGATACTTCTTCCTCCTGAGTAAGGCGATAAACTACATCCAATCCTGAGTATGACGGTAAATTATATCCGCGTCTTGGGTAAGGCGATAAACTATATCTGTATCCTGAGTAATATATATATACTAGCAGTAGAGCCCGGTGTTGCCCGGGGATGTAACAGTAAGAGATAGATCAAGTATCGACCATCAGAAAGACTGAAAAATAAAATTGACAAAGATTATTGTTTAAGGTTGACGGGCACGCATGTCTTAATTAGTTTTTTTTTGTTGTTTTTTAGGGGTTTTTTTTACGAATTGGTCAAACCCAAACTCAAACAAAAACATTGTTTTCAATCTTTCTGAGTCTATCGATTGCATAGAATTTTATTATAAACAATTGTCTTGTAAATGGAATTTTTAAAGTATTCTGAATGTAAAAATAAAGTAAAAAGTGTGCAAAACAATAAGAAACACTACCTGCCAAAAAAAAGAAGTGAAGTTTTGTTGGAATTGGTAAAAAAATGTAGGAAATTCGATCCCATATATAAACGAGCACACACACACACACACACACACACACACACACACACACACACACACACACACAACCTGAGATTTATAATAAGTATAACTCGATATGAGTTGTCCCCCTTACATTCTGTCGACAGAATTGTGTTTTATCGGGTTTTCAAATTGATTTAGTGCAAAAACAATTGTGTTTTTTTCCAATTTTGGGCGCCGTCAGAACCACTGTAAGGTAATTTTACGTAGTCCTGTGAAGTTTTGTTGAAATCGTTTGAAAAAAGTAGGAAATCCGATCCAATATATAAACGTACACACACACACACACACACACACACACACACACACACACACACACAATCTGCGTTTTATAATAAGTAAGATATATGCGAGGTGTATCAAAAATCTTTTTACAAACCTTGGAGGCGGGTTCCTTACACCAAAACAAAAACAATAGTTAATATAAACATATGTCCACAAATCCTTCGATTTGTTTTATTAACTTTAAACTTTACAGTAGGCGATGTGAAATGTACAACCGGTCTCCCTCGATCCATACATTGTGGGGCCACGATTTCTGTCTTAACAACGGTACGATAGACAGAACCAAAGGTTGGATGAATCGGCTGCTTTCGGAAAACGCAATCTGATACAGCCGTGCAGCCTCGCGTCCTTTACCATTCGCTTGGCCGTATGTAAAAATCATATTTGCCTGCTCACGCTATGAATATCCTGCCATTGTTAAACGGAACTCTTCTGAGTTAACTTAATATCACACACGTTAAGCGTTGAAGAGGGACTAGACACAAATGTACATGAATGACAAATGTGATCTAGTCTAAATGGCAACACAGCACCATCTACTGTAGACTTTCTTTAAACTTAACAACTCGAAAACGAAGGATTTTCGGACATATTTATATGGACTTTTGTCCTTGTTTCGGTGTAAGGAACCTGCCTTCAGAGTTTGTAAAATAATTTCTGATACATCCTCTGTGCATATAATGTAAAAAGGTGAGGCACTTCGTCCTGGTGTAATGGTTAGCAAGCTTATCTCGCTAGATCTATTACAACTGAATAGTGAGTTCGATCCTTACTGGGTGCCCCATACATTCAGCTTTGTGCCACATCTAAGCTACGCGTAGAAAATCATTAGTTCACCTCGGTGTGGTGTACTGGGTTAGCAAGCTTGTCCCACTAAAACAGTTCCGACTGAATAGTAAATTCGCTCCTCACTGGGTGCCCCATATTTTCGGCTTTGTGCTACTCTTAGAAAATCAATTCTAGGCACTTGGATGCGATGTAATAGTTAGCAAGCTTGTTTCACTAGAACAGTTACGAGTGAGTAGTGAGTTCGATCCTCACTGGGGGCACCATACTTTCGGTTTTGTGCTACGTTTGGAAAATCACTATAATGTTAAAAGAGAAATAGTACTGATCCGTTTTGAGTCAACTAGTTTTTATGGTTACAGTTACTGATTGAGAGAATCGTTTTTTTTATTGTGTTAGGCACTTTTTAAAAGAATTTGAGCATTCGTTAACGGGAATATTGCAGTAAAAAGATTTAAAATCTAGACGAGCCATGAGTTTATCAGTCATCTTAAGAATTTAGGCAGCCTGAATGAAAAACGAAGTGGAATAATTATGGTTGTTAAACAAATAATTATGAAAAGTACTTATATATAATTCTACTGAATATATATCAAAATAAGAAACATAGATCTCATTATAAACATCCATACGTTATTTGATAAAATTGCTGATAACCAATTGAAGGCACGTATTGTGGAAAAATGATAACCTTGTTGAATATTGATTTCGGGGTTTAGTTTAAGGTTTACATTAATCTACGAAAGATTTGTATTGGTCTGGACAAGAGAGAAAAAAGAAACAAATGAAGCATTTAGCGTCCGGTAATTTTGTCAAAGCCGCAGAAAATATTATGGCGTCTTCATGTTTTTATTTCTCTATTGTAAATAAACTTTCAGTGAGTCTAAATGTAAAAAAAAAGTGTACAGGGAAAAGGGATATGCTCAGCACGACAGAGGCAGATTGATATTTGGTGTCTAAGCGCCAGATTTGAAAAAGATTGAATCGAACTTAATGGAAGGAACATAGGAGACTAAAAATTGATTCAAGAAAAGAAAAACGAAAAAGAAAAGAAAGAAAGATAGATATAAAGAACGATAGAAAGAAGGAAAAAAAGAAAGAAAGAAAGATAGATAGAAAGAACGATAGAAAGAAGGAAAAAAGAAAGAAAGAAAAAAAAGAAAGAAAGAACGAAAGATGAAGGGGAAGATAGAAATATTGTCGGCAGAAAAGGTGATGGAATGATATTCAAAACGGAGTAGATAGATACGCAAAAGCAAAAGTAAAACAAAATCAAAAAGGGATAAAAGGAAAAAAATGAGGAAGAGGAAGGAGAAAATATATTATGCAGAAAGTTTGATATAAGCGAAAAAGTGGATAAAACTACAAAACAGAAAGAAAATTAAAAATTATAATCTGCTAAATTATAACATTTATCGTAATAAGAAATTACGTCAGATTAAGATATATATATATATATATATATATATATATATATATATATATATATATATATATATATAATAAAAAGGCTTAAACACTAATATTCCATATATTTTATTATATGCTTACTCTGTCCTTGACATTGAGTTCTACCTGGATTCTATCCTCTTGGATTTTTTTTATTCAAAAATTATATATGTATGTGTATGCACCTATGTATATATTTTTGCATATGTATTTGTATATTTATATATATATATATATATATATATATATATATATATATATATATATATATATATATATATATATATATATATATATATATATAGATATATAGAGAGAGAGAGAGAGAGAGAGAGGCACGGTCGAGTAATGGATATCGTCTTGGATTGAGGAATCGGAGAGCGATTTGAATTCAGTCGAATCCATTACATTCACTTACGTGCTAATATGAATCCTCTTCTTCTCCCTCCAGTCTTGGATGGCAACTGGTCTAGGAGAAGGACAACTCTCAATTCAAAACCTGTGGAGGGTCATTTGGAGACTTTGTGACACGTAGTGCCCCATGTCTCTGTATTCGGCCCTTCAATATTTTTTATATATATATATATATATATATATATATATATATATATATATATATATATTAAATCCGGTTGACGTCTTTCTTATCGCATCAAAACCTACCCACATTTCTCACCCACACAAGACAGACATGCTTACGGAGGTGTTGAGGCCTCACACTTATACACACACCCACACGAACATACACACTTACACACATCATACTCACTCACTCTCTAATGAGCCAAATGATAACACCCACCCACTGCAATAGATACGCTTACACATATCATACTCCCTAAGAACCAAATAACACACACTCACACACACACTTAACAGACACACGTCCCCACCTCGAAGACCAATAAAACTGTTAAACTGACCAGAGGAATTCAGAGCAGCATAGATCCATCCAGCTCTTATCTCAAATAACAACTTAAAAGAGACTGTTTGACCAACACAAGAAATGTTAAAAGATTCATGTTAAAAAGATAAATATATATATATAAAAAAAAACAAATGAAAACTACATACAAATGTTCATTTTCTCCATCAAGACATTCATTTCTGTAGTTTACTGCTACAAGCAAGCAGAAATATTTCTTCTCCTGATGATGGCCATTTTGTGCGAAACTAGTCGAGGAATCTAAATGAAATGATTATAATAAAAACGGAAGAATATTAATCTACAACCAAGTGTGTCTGAAGATTTTAATTTTTTAACTTTTTAATATTTTTTATTGTTCAATATATATATATATATATATATATATATATATATATATATTGAACAATAAAAATAAAAAATATATATATATATATATAATTATTTATTTAAAAAAATAGCATAAACATGTTATAACATCACTAAAAAATACCGATTTTGTTTCAACACTTCTGGTGTCTCTTCAAGTGATAGTGTTGAATGTAGAATAAAGAGTTTTAAAAGGATCAAAACCAAGCAAACTCCCCTCAATAGGAGAAACATTGTTACATAAACTACAATGACCAATCAAAATAAACTATATGAAAATTCAAAAAAATTGACAACGAACATTGGTTATAATTATTAATGCTTTAATGTTTATGTTAGATTAAAATAGAAATCATTCTGATTCATTTCAAATTTTACTATAAAATTAAAAATAAAAGTTTAACCTGTATTAAGTTTAAAGTATTATAAAATTATTTAAAGAAGAAACAGAGGAAAACGCAAATATAATTTTTATCTATTTTATGTTTTAATCGAAAAGACAAATTTACACATATAGCAAACGCTAATTTAAGGAGATTCAAACATCGTAACAACATAGATATATTTGAAGGGATCTAAATCCAGAAGGGGAAAAAGTTTTAATAATGACAATACATACACAATCATATTATAATATACAAACACATTTATATATATAAACACGCACTACAGACATATGTCTGTATAGGTGTATGTGTATGCACGTATTTTGGTATATATATATATATATATATTTATTAAAGACATTACGTCATATACGCTGACGTGCCTTAACCGTCTC